TCTCTCTCTCTCTCTCTCTCTCTCTCTCTCTCCGCTTGCTCTCTCTCTTTCTCGCTTGCTCTCTCTTTCTCCTCTCTCACTCTCTCTCGCACTCTCCTCTCTGCTTTTCGCTCCCCCTTTCTCTATCTCTCTCGCGCCCTTTCGCTCACCCATCAATTCCTCAGGGAGACTGCAAGTTCATTTAAAATCGTGTAGTGTTGACTCTAGCTGTCGCTAAGAGATGTTTGCTCGTAGTGATTGCAGAATATAATAGAGGGGGACACCGTCGTTGGCTGTAATCTTCTTCATCTTAGCGTCGTCAGGCCTGATTGTCTCGTTCATAAATGTTAGCTTCTCTCCTTCTCTTTCTTCCTCATCTCCCCGCGCCTTCTCTTTCTATCTCTCTCTCTCTCTCTCTCTCTCTCTCTCTCTNCTCTCTCGCTCTCTCCTCTCTCTCTCTCTCTCTCTTTCTCAAGAGATCTGCTCTCTCTCTGCTCTGCTCTCCTTCTCTCGTCCTCTCGTCACTCTCTCTTCTCACTCTCTCTCTCTCTCCTCTCTCTCTCTCTCTCTCTCTCTCTCTCTGCTATCTCACCTCTTCTTTCACTCTCATCTCTCTCTGCCTCGTCTCTCTCTCCTCTCTCTCTCTCTCTCTCTCTCTCTCTCCCACTCTCTCATCTCTCGCTCTCCTCGCTCTTTCTCTCTCTCCTCTTACTCTCTCTCTTGCGGATTGATCGTCATGTTATGCCATTACCATTACTCTTATTATGCTAATAAAACCGCACTGATTATAACCATTGAAATAACACGCTGCAGTGGAGTGAGTTTTCCATGCTAAGTGGCAGTTTGCGCTCGCACGAGGGAGTAACGGTTCCCCTGTTAGTGACGAAATGATCACATTTCGTGTCAATTAGTCGAGATTCTATGTTGCGTGTCAATCATTAAGATTGCGCGGGGCGCGCAGTCGCAGTAGCATCAGCAGCAAGCAGCGGGCAGGCAACGCCAGCAGCAGCAGGCCCAGCAGCACCAGACAACAGCAGCAGCAGCAGAAGGCAGTAGGCATCACGAACACACCCCACCCAGCAGTAGTAGTAGCAGCAAGCAGCAGCAGTCAATCAGCAGGGCAGAGCAGCAGCAGCAGCCGTAGCAGCATGCAGTAGTAGCATAAGCAGCAGAGCAGCAGTAGTAGCAGTAGCAGGTAGGCAGCAGTGCAGCAGTCCAGTAGCAGCAGAAGCAAGCAGCAGTAGCAGTAGGCACGTAGTAGGGCAGTAGTCGCAGATAGGCACAGTAGCAGCAGTAGCAGTAGCAGCAAGTAGTGCGCCTAGGCAGCAGTAGCACGTAGCAGCAGCAGCAGCAGCCCTTAGCATCTAGCAGCAAGTAAGTGCAGCAGTAGCGAGGCAGTAGCAGTAGGCAGCAGTACAGCAGTAGCAGAGCAGTAGTAGCAGCGGGCAGTAAGCAGCTAGCAGCAGTAGCAGCAGTACAGCAGTAAGCAGCAGCAGTTAAGTCAGCAGGCAGCAGTAGCAGTAGTAGGAGTAGGTAGCAGCAGTAAGCAAGCAGCAGCAGCAGTAGCAGCAGTAGTGCAGGGCAGCAGCAGTAGCAGTAGGCAGTAGTAGGGCAGTAGTAAGGGCAGTAGGCAGCAGTAGCCGTAGCAGCAGTTAGCAGCAGTAGCAGGCTAGTAGGCAGGCAGTAGGCAGTAGTAAGCAGCAGTCAGCAGCAGTAGCAGCAGCAGCAAGCAGCAGCGTAGCACAGTAGGCGAGCCAGCAGTAGTAGGCAGCAGCAGTAAAGCAAGTAGTAGCAGTAGTAGCAGGCAGTAGCAACAGCAGGCAGCAGTAGAGCAGTAGCAGTAGCCGGACAGTAGCAGCAGTAGTAGCAGGCAGGCAGCAGTAGCAGTAGGGCAGTAGTAGGTCAGTATTAGTTAGGCAGTAGCAGCAGTAGGCAGTAGCAGGCAGTAGCAGTAGTAGCAGCGATAGTAGCAGGCATGTATGCAGCAAGCAGCAGCAGCAGCAGTGCAGTAGCAGCAGCAGCAGCAGCAGCAGCAAGCAGGGCAGCTAGGCAGTAGCAGCAGTAGCAGCAGCAGCAGCAGTAGCGGGCAGTAGCAGTAGCAGCAGTAAGCAGCAGTAGTAGGGCCCCGCCAGCAGCAGGCAGTAGCAGTAGCAGTCGTAGCAAGTAGTAGCAGTAGGGCAGCAGTAGCAGTAGCAGCAGCAGGCACAGTAGTTAGCAGAGTAGTAGCAGCAGCAGCAGAAGAAGAGCAGCATGGCAGCAGTAGGCAGTAGGCAGTAGTAGGCAGTAGCAGCCAGCCAGGCAGCAGCAGTAAGCAGCACAGCAGCAGCAGCAGCAGTAGGCAGGCAGCAGCGCCAGGCAGGCAGTAGCAGTAGGCAGCGTAAGCAGCAGCAGTAGCAGTACAGCAGCAGGCAGCACAGACAGTAGCAGCAGCAAGCAGTAGCAGCGTCCTTTATGGTAGTCGTGAGGTGACGTAACCGAATCAATGCGGCCATGCTTGTCATCACTTAATAGCCATTCTCTCTGCTCATCTGACTCTCTCTCTCTCTCTCTCTGCGTCTCGCTCTCCCTTGTCTCTCATCTCGTTGTCTCTCTCTCTCTCTTCTCCCTCTCTCGAATCTCGCTCTCTTTCCCTCGCTCTCTGCTCTCCCTCTCCCGTCGCTTCCTTTCTTTTATTTCCGCCTTTCTCTTTCTCTCTCTCTCGCTCTCTTTCCCTCTTCTCTCTCTCTCCCTCCCTCCCTGTCTTTCTCTCTTTCTCCCTCTCTCTCTCACTCGATCCGTCTGTCTACCTCTCCCTCTCTCTCTCTCTCTCTCTTCCTAGCTTTCTCTTTCTCCCTCCCTCATTCTCTCTGTCTCTCTCTCTTCGTGCAAGCCATGATGCTCACATGAGTTAGTGATGACATTTGTTAGACCATCACGGTCTTTCTACTTCGTCTCATACCTAAATGTCCGTGACTTTAAGCTTCTCCTACACTTACCTGATCCAATTAAGCTCAATTTCATTTTGCAGCTATTTCGTGCAGGATTCGTTCTTAGCCTTTGTCATCGCATGCGCATCACGACAGACGTTTTTAAAGCGTGTGTGCGTGTAATGAGAATGACATTTTCTTAATTGACACCGACTCTTAGACTAATTTCGACTCCTTTTGTTCTTTCCAGTCTTTTCAAGGAAGCCAAGGCAGGGCGTACCTCTTCAACTCCGTGTGAGTATAATTGTTGAAAAATGGAATACAAAAATAATAAGAATAAAAATAAAAAACAAAATATCGCTTCAATCGTGGTGGATCGCACATGTGATAGTAATTTAATAAAATAACATATGATTTATAAATACAAATTCATAATTTCGCAGGGTGAATGTGGGTTGCGGCCCGGCCAAAGAAAGGGTGCTACTGACCGGCCTGACCCTGACCCCACACTCTCCATGAAATTGAATAATAGAACAAACCGTCGCTTCAATCCTAGTCGATCGGACGTGCGATGAAAATTTTATAAAATAATATATGATTCATGGGCTGAATATCATGAATATATGAGGTATCGTTCAATGATGATCATATAATAAATAAAAATTCATAATTTTGCAGGGTGAACGTCGGCTGCGGGCCGGCGGAGGAGAGGGTGCTACTGACCGGCCTGCATGCTGTGGCGGATATCTTCTGCGAGTGTTGCAAGACAACGCTCGGCTGGAAATACGTACGTGTCCAACGCCTCCTACACCTGTCTTCCTTCTGTCTCCCTCTACACTCCTTCCTGTATTCTTCTTTCTTTCGTAAGCTCACTCACTCACTCACTCACTCACTCACTCACTCACACTCACTCTCACTTCACTCACTCATTCACTCACTCACTCACTCACTCACTCACTCACTCAGTCACTCACTTACTCACTCACTCACTCACTCACTCACTCACTCACTCACTCACTCACTCACTCACTCACTCACTCATTCACTCATTTGCTCACTCACTCACTCACTCATTCACTCACTCACTCATTTACTCACTCATCACTCACTCACTCACACTCATCAACTCACTCATCACTCCACTCACTCACTCACACTCACTCACTCACTCACTCACTCACTCACTCACTCATTTTCTCGATTGTTCACAAACGATTTGATCGAATCGACGATTCTCACGGGCCGTGCTCTTCTGTTCTCTAGGAACATGCGTTCGAGTCGAGCCAGAAGTACAAGGAGGGTAAGTTCATCATCGAACTAGCTCACATGATCAAGGAGAACGGTTGGGACCATGAAGACGACTGCAAGAACCGTCAGCCTTAATGCGTACACCACCGGGGGCGCCACTGCATTTTTGCACGCGGATGTTGTCGACACGCGATTGCGCGCTTCGCGACGTACGCGGCTTTATCCTCGGTGGCAGGCGTGCACGTCGCTGTGGTAAGCTTGCTGCTGCTGCTGCTAGTGGTGGGGATAGTGGTGCTGCTGCTGCTGCTGCTTAGTGGCAGAAGTGGTGCTGCTGACTGCTGCTGTAGTGCGGTAGTGGTGCTGCTGCTGCTAGCTAGTGGTGGTAGTGCTGCTGCTGCTGCTAGTGCGTGGTAGTGCTGCTGCTGCTCTAGTGCGTAGTGGTGCTGCTGCTGCGGATGCTAGTGGCGTATGCTGGTGCTGCGGTGCTAGTGGCGGTAGTGGTGCTGCTGCTGCTGCTGCTAGTGGTGGTAGGCGGTGCGCTGCTGCTGCTGCTTAGTGGTGATAGTGGTGCTGCTGCTGCTGCTGCTAGTGGTGGTAGTGGTGGTTGCTGCTGCTGCTCGCCTAGTGGCGGACTGGTGCTGCTTGGCTTGCTGATGCTGCTGCTGCTAGTTGGCGTAGTGGTGCTGCTGCTGCCTACTGCTAGTGGCGGTAGTGTGCTGTCTGCCTGTGCATCGGGGTAGCTGGTGCTGCTGCTGCTGCTAGTGGTGGTAGTGCTGCTGCTGCTGCTAGTGGTGTGTAGTGCTGCTGCTGCTGCTAGTGGCGGTAGTGGTGCTGCTGCTGCTGCTGCTAGTGGCGGTAGTGCTGCTGCTGCTGGTGCTAGTGGCGGTAGTGGTGCTGCTGCTGTGCTGCTAGTGGTGGTAGGGGTGCTGCTGCTGCTGCTGCTAGTGGTGATAGTTGGTGCTGCTGCTGCTGCTGCTAGTGGTGGTTAGTGGTGGTGCTGCTGCTGCTGCTAGTGGCAGAACTGGTGCTGCTGCTGCTGATGCTGCTGCTGCTAGTGGCGTAGTGGTGCTGCTGCTGCTACTGCTAGTGCGCGTAGTGGTGCTGCTGCTGCTGCTTAGTGGCAGAAGTGGTGCTGCTGCTGCTGGCTAGTGGCGGTGTGGTGCTGCTGCTGCTACTGCTAGTGGCGGTAGTGGTGCTGCTGCTGCTGCTGGAGTGCGTAGTGTGGGGTGCTGCTGCTGCTGCTAGTGGCTGTAGCTGGTGCTGCTGCTGTGCTGCTGCTGCTAGGTGGCGGTAGTGGTGGTGCTGCTGCTGCTAGTGCGGTAGTGGTGCTGTCTGCTGCTTAGTGGCGGTAGTGGTGCTGCTGCTGCTTTGCTGCTGTGTGCTACTTGTTGCTGCTTGCTGCTAGTGGTGGTAGTCTGGCTGCTGCTACTGTTACTACTGCTGCTACTGCTGCTGCTACTACTGCTGCTACTGCCACTGTTGCTGATGCTGCTGCTGCTAGTGGTGGTAGTGCTGCTGCTGCTGCCACCTCTACCACCGCTGCTGGTAGCAGAACAAGTGCTGACGATGTTTCCATCCGTGTAGAGTCCCGTGTTCTGCAGCTCACACGTAGCTGTCAGCGTTCTGGGGTGAAGCTTAGCGTCTTTCCGCTCGATTGCATAGCCGAGTCCACGCAGCAAGGAAAACGCAGCCGACTTTGCTAACGCCGTGTGGTGCACGTCGAATTTCAACTGCTCCTGCTTCCTCCGCTCTCGAAACTAGATTCACTTTGCCGTTTGCGTAAACGACCAAGTATGTTGTTTGTTTTTTGTGTTGTTTTTCGCAACCCGTGGCGTTTTTAGCTTCTAGCTGGTCTAGGGAAAATGTTGGGTGGACGCATTGTTGGAAAGCATACTGGCAGTGGAACAGAAAGGCTGGAAATCTGTTAGGGTAAACTATGTTCTCTATTTTTCTCGCTACATTTGACATTGTGGACAACCCCCGTGTCGATAGAGATTGATGTCTTGGCTGATGCCATGACTGAGATGGGCCGTTTCCATTTTTGAATGGCCAGCAGTTGGTATCTTGTGCTGGAAAGTCACGTCATAAATGCCCAGGCCGTATGGGTGGGACGATTATTTTACCGTGAGTTTTATTTTTTGTACAGCAATATCGATTGATTCGTGACAGCTCGTTCAGTAACCGTTATCTGTACCATTTTGGATATGACCATGTCATGACATTTTCGCTGTCTGGTAATTATCGAACCGATCGGCTGCTGCCACAGGAAACCAACACGGTGCTGCCCTCTCTTGGCAGGTGCGCGCGTAACTTGGAATGTTGCTTAGAGTTTCCGATCGGCAAGCCACCGGTTTTGCTAATATGCGAAAGTGCTTATAAAGAGATCTATCTAACAAACGTCCGGTTTCATAATTTACACGGTTACACTTTAGATATAATTCTGTTGTCAAACAGCGACAGGTATGACGTTTCTCACCCATGCATTGCTACCATGAATGTTCGCACATATAATGACTATACAATATTATCAAGGAGTTAGATAATATAGGAATAATATCATATCTATATTATAGCTATATATATATATATATATATATATTATATATATATATATATATACGATATATATTATATTATCATACCTATATTATCTTATCTCTGATATTATATATATATATATATTATATATATATATTATATATAATCAAGAGTGTATAAGAAGATATTATCCTTATTTATACGCTCTTGATATAATATATATATATATATATATATATATTATGTCATCTTGAAGATCAATTTACTTTCCTCGGCTTTATACCAGAATAATGGAACGTTGTATATTGTTTTATAGCTGCAAAAAGCAAGCAGAACGAAGGGGTTGTAAATTAAGTTGTTTTGCGTTACTGTTACATTAAGAAGTACCGGGTAGTTTGAAAATACTTCAAAACAAAAGTCAGCAAAAAGCTAGCAAGTTCTCGTGGGTTTACTAGTGAAATTTCCTTCCTCTCTCTCCACGTCGCGCTACTGTTGAGGGCCAAGATTTATTTCTGCGTATGTGTAAAAATATTGATGTAGTACATGAATAGTTGCTCGGGTAACCTATATTGGTGCATTGCCTAGGTGGTCGTACATTGGCTATATGTTTGTGCTTTGTTGTGCGCCAGACATACAGTTGTTAATATTATTCTATTTTATACCATATTTAATTATGTACATAGCTTCATGTGAATGTCCATATGTATTTAATTTTTGTACTCTGTGGTTTTTAATTTCCTGTATGGCTGTGCAAATCTGATCGACGCAATTAGAAAACGGATTTGATCATGACGATTTTATAGTTTAAAACCGATAATTTTTCACGGCATTTCAGTGTGAATTGCTTGCAGTTTTGCCATTTTCTTTCCACTCACATCTACCCGTTTACGGATGCCGTTTGATTTTTGACGTACAGTTAGTTTTACTCTTTTTTTAAACCAGTCAATTGCGCGTTGTGCAAGCGGGAAAATGCAGTTTTTGCTATGAGTTCTCGTAGGAAATTTCCAATATATGCAACGCAATGTAAGTTTACTCTGCCGGAAAATTGCGATCATAAGCCCTCCCCCCCCCCTCCGGTACGTGCACGAACTATATAATACAGTAACACTCTCAAAGGTCAACGTAATATTGTCCTAAAAAATGAAATCGAGGTCGGAGTTATACTCTTGACTCTTTGTTATAAAGAAGTGATGTCTGGACCCCGTTAGTGCAATGCGTGTCGTACTTGGTATGTGCATATTCTAGTGATCTTTGTAAGGCAGAGGAGAATGCAGTGGGTTAGGATAGCCATTGTGATATATAACGTCTTTGCCTTATATTATGATGCTGCACTATAGTATCCTGTACTAGTGCTGCACTCTGGTAGTGGTATAGTCAACCACGTGTGTGTTTATATTTTCTGTCACAGTTGAATTCATTTTTTTTTGAAATACGGGCATCCAAAGAATATAAGATGTGAATAAGAAGCTGAACGGGATTAGAGATGAGTGAATCCCGAAATGTAATGCACGGCATATGAGCCTTTTGCTTCTCCGTACGAAATAGCAGGACAGTCACATTTAGCATAACAAAATGCACCGCCAGAGACCGTAAAAAATGCATCCCGAGTTACCGCTGTGATTGGTTCTATCATTCGTCGCTGTGTCAACGTTACTGATGTTGTCATGGCAATGTATGAGCTGATTATTTTCCAGCTCACGTTCATTGCCAAATAGTACAAAATAATGAGGTCGCGTTTGTCTCTAAAATGGAAAGATGGATCTTCATATTATGTAAATACTGAGCATGTTCACGCTTTCTTCCTCGATTCTGTTCTGCACATTGTTCTAATGTTTCACCATAATATTTAATTACTTGTGTTGGCAGTATGAGTGTAGTACGTGAACCTATTGTGTGCGTGTGTGTGTGTGTGTGTGTATGCTGCTGCTGCCACCTCTACCACCGCTGCTGGTAGCAGAACAAGTGCTGACGATGTTCCATCCGTGTAGAGTCGCCGTGTTCTGCAGCTCACACGTAGCTGTCAGCGTTCTGGGGTGAAGCTTAGCGTCTTTCCGCTCGACTGCATAGCCGAGTCCACGCAGCAAGGAAAACGCAGCCGACTTTGCTAACGCCGTGTGGTGCACGTCGAATTTCAACTGCTCCTGCTTCCTCCGCTCTCGAAACTAGATTCACTTTGCCGTTGCGTAAACGACCAAGTATGTTGTTTGTTTTTTGTGTGTTTTTCGAACCCGTGCGTTTTTAGCTTCTAGCTGGTCTAGGGAAAATGTTGGGGTAGCGCATTGTTTGAAAGCATATTGCAGTGGAACAGAAAGGCTGGAAATCTGTTAGGGTAAACTATGTTCTCTGTTTTCTCGCTACATTTGACAGTGTGGACAACCCCCGTGTCGATAGAGATTGCCGTCTTGGCTGATGCCATGACTGAGATGGGCCGTTTCCATTTTTGGATGGCTAGCAGTTGGTATCTTGTGCTGGAAAGTCACGTCATAAATGTCCAGGCCGTATGGGTGGGACGATTATTTTACCGTGAGGTTTTATTTTTTGTACAGCGATATCCGATTGATTCGTGACAGCTCGTTCAGTAACCGTTATCTGTACCATTTTGGACATGACCATGTCATGACATTTTCGCTGTCTGGTAATTATCGAACCGATCGGCTGCTGCACAGGAAACCAACACGGTGCTGCCCTCTCTTGGCAGGTGCGCGCGTAACTGTTGAATGTTGCTTAGAGTTTCCGATCGGCAAGCCACCGGTTTTGCTAATATGCGAAAGTGCTTATAAGAGATCTATCTACAAACGTCCGGTTTCATAATTTACACGGTTACACTTTAGATATAATTCTGTGTCAAACAGCGACAGTATGACGTTTCTCACCCATGCATGCATACCATGAATGTTCGCACATATAATGACTATACATATTATCAGGAGTTAGATAATATAGGAATATATCATACTATATTATAGCTATAGATCTTCTCTCTCTCTCATCACTCGCGCTTCTTCGTTCCTGCTCTCTCTCGCCTCTCTCTTCTGCTCCCTCTCACCCTGGCTCGCTCTCTCTCTCCCTGGCTCTCTCTCTCTCCTCTCACTCGCGCTTTCTACGTCTGCTTCTCTCACTCGGTGGCTCTCCGCCCATGAATCGACCGCCTGTGTTGCTAAAAATGCTGAACGGATGCTGAAACATATACGCGTTAGTACTTACTGTGACATCATCCGCGACTAATGGACACCACGTAAATTTGAGAAAAATGTTCATGCACCTTAAGAATTCTGCAGAAATTACGAGTTATCATCGCCCA